TGTGTGTGTGTGTGTGTGTATGTATATATACAGTATATACAGTATACGAATATGCATGTATATGAAAGTGTTTGGATATGTAGGTAGGGGTATGTTTGTGTATAAATTTATAAATGAATATGGGTATGGTTTTCAGCAAGGCTATAGTCATTATAATTATATAGATATGCATTTTTCTTGCTGTGGTTTTGCTATCTTTGTTTTGTAGGTGTGGAGCCAAGAAGTCCGGTGTGCTGTCTTGTGTTTTCTCAACATATATTTTACATGTCTTCTAATCTCTTTTTCACTCTTTCTCATTACATTTCACTTTTTTCTTTCTTCTTCCTTTTCTTCTATTAATAAAAAAAATTATAATAATGGTGTGGAGAGGATGGGGAAAAGGGAGGCCATCAATAAAAAAACAGACTTCAAACTATACAGCAGTTTTTAAATTGTGTCATTAGGTCAAGAGAAGAAGACCAGAGTTACGATAAATGGCATATCATAGGCTACTATCTACTACTATATTTTTCTGAAAATGAACGCTCAATTTTGAAGCGTGTTGCAGCTGAAGGGAGCAGGAAACACAGTAATCTTGTGGAAGAAACACCGCTGTCCATCGTCAGTCACATCTTTCTCTTAAACCGAAAAAATATAACCCCCCAGAGCTCCTTTTTGACTGAGGTTCAAAGTTATCTAGCAAGCAGTAAAAAATCTACAGGAAGAAGAAAATAAAAAGAGGTGAAATTTGAATGGAGATTGGCGGCAATGAAGAGCCGGTGAGAGCAGGACTTTATTAATTAGATCTGTGACTTTTAACGTTTGGATTTTACAGTTAGTGGGTAGTTTTGAGTGATTACTCTTCATTTTAGCCAATTTTAGTGGGTTTTGGATCAAAACAATGAGGCATTTCTTTTTAAAAGCACGGAGGTCTGCAGAGGCAAAACGACAACACGTGTCTTTCTCTCCCCTCACTCTTACAGTTAGAAATATTTTATCTCTGGGTGTTTTTTATGTGAGAAGTGCAGTCCTACAGCAACTTTTCACCATTTTTCCTATTTTCCACATAGAGGCACTCGTCATACTTTCCCCCAAAGCAATATGTCAGCCTCCGTCTACAACACGTGACTAAGTACCCGGCTATTTGACTTTGAGGATAATTAAAACAAATCATGTTTTCTGTCCTTTAGCAGAACTGCATGACAAAATCTCCTCAAATGACGGCACTTAGTGGCGCTGTGGCTTAGTTGGTTAAAGCGCCTGTCTAGTAAACAGGAGATCCTGGGTTCAAATCCCAGCGGTGCCTTTTTTTCTTTTTATGTTTCCAGCTGTCACCACGTGTGTTTCCAAACCGCGAGTGACACAGGTGACACTACAAAGTGAGACGTAAAAATGGTTTAATAGGTTCCCCTGTTTTGATTGACACCCCTTTTGACCAACTGGGTTGACCGTTGACTTTTCTACAGCCAATAAAATAAGCAGATTGTAATTTCATCCTACCGCAAACGAGCCTCCTTTGATTGACTGTAAAACAGACCAATCAGCTCTAATTCTTTCAACTGACGTCACAGACGTGTGGCCAAGTGGTGTGTGAACGCACCGGGCTTTTATAATATGTATCTTAAATAATCTATGGCACCAAGTGCCTCCAAGCTTAACATAATCCACTTTAGCAAAGAACTCTATATTTACAGCACCACAAGTAAAGGACATGAGAAACAAAATGCAGTGAAGAACATTTTGGTTCTGGACAGACCTAGTTTATCTATGTAACCTGTAAATTGATTTATACATTTTCTTGTACCTGATACCTTCGTAGGCTACTCTTTATTTTCACCCTGGCAAAAATAAATAAATAAATAAATAAATAAATAAATAAATAAATAAATAAATAAATAAGTGTTATTTGTACTGTTTGTTACAAGGTGTTTTGATATGGAGGACCGATCCTGTATTTTGAATACTTCAGGACAATGAATGATTTTTGATATTTTTGAGCCAACTAAGTCTCTGTTTTGAAYTATGTTGAAGTTACAGTCTTAGGAATATATTGCTCAGTTTTTGGGACATTACTGGACACTTTGAAAACATGCACGAACAAGTTTCTTTTTAAAATTATGCCCAAAAGCTATTCTTACCTAATTTAAAGTAATAATAGTTGAGACTTGTAGATTTTATATCATTTTTCAACTAATAGCCTATAACTACTCCTTTTTACATGCAGAACAATAAAAATTATACGATTTACTTAGTGATTTTTAACTTCAATAACTATGTACAAAAACAATGCTTTTGAATTTACTCCAAAGGATTCAAGACATAATAATTTTTAATTGAAAATAGTTTAATTTGGGTAAGCTTTTTAAAGGAGTTTTAGGCACTGAGGAGTTACGTTTCTGAGGAGTAGCTAGCTGTGACTAGTTTGTTATAGTTGAGTCTAGTTTATGTTTACAGTGGACATGAAACATTTTGCATTATTTGTAGCCATTTTTCACAACAATTTTTCAGTCTAGATTTTAAAACACCAGTTTCTCAGAATGACAACTTCTTTTCTTGATTTAATTGCACAAATACCAGATGTCATTTTCAAGAGAAAGAAAAAACAGTCCAACAAATCCCTGCGAGCAGGGTTTGAACCTACACAGGAAGATCCCATTGGATTCCAAGTCCAACACCTTAACCACTTACACAACAAAGTCAACATATATAGTGTTCTGTTTTGCAGTACTTCTCTAACCCAGATAGTCTGTAGACGTTGAAATCACATGACTGGGTTTATATTTTTATTTTTATATATTTAAACCTTTATTTGATGAGGTAGATCTCACTGAGATTAAAAATCTCTTTTTCAAGAGACCTGGCCAAGAACAGCAGCAGCACACAGACATGACCAAATTCAGCTATTA